TAGTTCTGCATAAATTATGCTGGAAGGAAGTATATTGCTGAATATCTAGGCATTCCTCCATGTGTAAGATTGTACCTTCGAATACACTACATTAGTAGTTTTTATTTTACAGTTTTTTATGATTTAATTACGGGAGCCCCGGGTAGAACAGGGCCACGGGGCAGAACAGGGTATCGGCTATATTTCGTCTGCAATGCGTTGCGATCTATCGGGACCGGATGAAATACCATTGGCATACAGCACAGGGTCATGTCACGTCAGTCAGCGCCATTTTGTGGTTACAGTTTCTGAAATAATCACCCATGCTGGATTTTGCTCCTACATTTTAGAAATTTTCCTCAATTTCCAGTAAAGGCAAAACCTATTCATTATTCATATCCACTTTGTTGAATGACGCATGTTACAAGGCGTTTTCTTGAAAGTCTTAAACACAATAGTTTTATTTATTTTCATCATGTCATTTTTGTTGGCACAATCCTAATTTGAAAGAGTATACTCGGGGCAGGATGGGGTAGGGCAGAATGGGGTACCCAGAGAAGAGGATAAAATGACAAGTACCTGTATTGTGGCGATGGCTATTCGCAGTCTATTGAAGGGTGGATCCTGTATTCGTCCTGCTTGAAATGGGCCCATAACTCATGTGCAGGTGTTGGTAATCACGATGATGAAGATGTGCACATGTGTGCCGTCTGTGTTAGGCCTAATTAGATTTAAAATGTGTAAAGTTTCGACATTTCACATTGTATATTAATAAAGTAGTATATTTGCGTCATATTGTGAATTAGGTTAATATTTTAATATTTTCCGTCAAATCACAATTTTAATAAGATAATAAAATATAAAATATTTAAAATATCATTTCACGTTCCGCATCGAATGATCGATTTACAAATTGGAACGTCTCTTACGACATGTTTCGGTTATATTTAACCGTCCTCAGGACGTGAAATGATATTTTAAATATTTTATATTTTATTATCTTATTAAAAATTGTGATTTGACGGAAAATATTAAA